TACAACTTTGTTGGGACTACCTGATCCTGGATGGAGGCTATGAAGCCCTCCGTCTCCAGGAACAGATTACCTGACTGCAAACCATCCTTGGGAAGCCTTCGTGTCAATGGCGTTGTCTTCTATGCGGCTCCTATACCGACCATGTAGTGGTTTGGCTTTCCATTGGCGAACCAGATCCTGCATTGGGGTTATCTTTGCCTCAGGGTCGAAAGATTTTTCTGAAAGGTTTAGTGGTGTCAACTTTTTATCCGTCTGTGTTATTGCTTGATGCATTCTGCTGGATGTGGCTTTTTGGAGGAAGTACTGGCGTAGATTGTCCACTTGGCGGTGATGTAGTGTAGGTATGCAAGGTATTCCTCTGCCACCCTCACTTCGTGGTAGATGGAACCGCTCTATGGAACTATGTGGGTGGTGTCCCCGGTGTTTACGGAATTCTTTTCTGGTTTCCACATTAAGTGCGTTCAGTTCTGTATCCGTCCAGTTCAGTATGCCAAACGTATAGGTAAGGACCGAAGTGGCGTAGGTGCTGACAGCAAGTGCTGTATTACGAGCTGACAGACTTGTTTTCAGCACCGCCCTCAAACGTGTTCTATAGTGCTCCGTTGCCTTTTCTTTTGCAGCTTTCTGGTCTATGCCCGGCGCTTGTAGATAGCCTAAGTATTTATACTGTTCATCTTGCTGCATTCCTTCAATTTTCCCTTGCACTTGGTTCGGCTCATATCCTGAATGTTTACTCCACTGGCCTTTTACCATGCAACTGATCTTGCACTTGTCTAAGCCAACAGCATCTTGATGTCAGTGCTGAATTTACTTACACAGTCCAGAAGCTTATGAAGATTTCTTTGGTTTCTGCAAAAAGTTTGAGGTCGTCCATGTACCAAAGATGTGAAATGCGTGTTTCATTGCCACCTAACAGTATTCCTTTCTTTTGGCTATTTAGCATTGTTGTTAACGGTCTAAGCGCTAAGCAGAACCATAGCGGACTTAAAGAGTCTCCTTGAAATATTCCTCTCTTGATGGATACCTCTCCGGCACTGAATTGCGTATCTTGGGTGTTGAGATAGAGCCGTGTCTTCCAATTCGCCATAGCATGTGCCAGAAATTGTTTGATGTGGCACTCGATCCCATAAAGGTCAAGCACCTCTAACAGCCAAGAGTGAGGTATACTGTCAAACGCTTTCTGATAATCGATGTATGCAATGTACAGGGGTATTTTTTTCTTTTTGGCATAATTAGTTATGACAGAGTCTATAACAAGTTGCTCTTTACAGCCTCGAGACCCTTTTCGGCAACCTTTTTGCTCTTCGTCTAGTATAGTATTCCGCTCTAGGTGTGAATATATCTTTTCAGTAATTATAGCAGTCAATACCTTGTAAATAGTCGGCAGACAGGTGATTGGTCGGTATTTTGCCGGAGCGTTCGAGTGATCGCCGCACTTTGGGATTAAATATGTTATTCCCATTGTTAAGAACTCTGGCAACATATCTGGTTGCTCTAAGATTGAGGTGTAACACTTTGCGAGTTGATCGTGAGCTGAAGTGAACGTTTTTAGCCAATAATTCTGAAGCTTATCTGATCCTGGGGCTTTCCAGTTTGGTAATTTTCGTAGAGTATTTACCACGTCATCTAAGCTTACTTTCCAGTCGAGCATGGTCCTAAAAGTTGAATTATTTGCTTTCTCTTGGCGGTACCATTTAGATGTGAATGATTGATTGGATTGCTCCAAATTCCTGACCAGAAGGTATTGATGGCATCTGAGGTAGGAATCTGAACGTTGTTCTGATCTGTATCCCTCCGTCGCGCCTGCAAGTTCCTGTAAAAGCCTCGCTGATTGGTCTCGAATGCTCGATTTTGTTTCCGGCGTTCGTTGCTTTTCTTGTACCTTCGAAGTCGCAGTGCTGTAGCTGCTAGTTTTTGCTTCAGGTAGTCCAAGACTTCTACGGCTGTTGGGTTCTCCTCCGAGCAGTGACGGTTTATCACATTCTCTGCGGATCTGTTTACTCTCAGACTACATTCAGACCTGCGGTACTGGGTGAGTATTGCTATGTCCTTTCTAATCTCCTCTATATTACGCGATATCCTCATCTCCCAGGCTGGCAGTTTTCTGTTTTTCCTTACACATTGTTCGCCAACTCTCTGTTCATTTAATTTTAGGACTGTAAGTGCTCCAATGTACAACAGGCTATGGAGCTCAGTCAAGGTTGTATCTTCTGTAATCTCGTTATCTATTACTTTGTTAACTTCAGCGATATACTCAGATGTATGGGGTTTTATTATTAGCTTTGGTAGGCTTGGTTAAGAGTTGGTTCCACACCATCATACTTCATGAACAAGCCCCTGAACTCATCTGCGTATTTAGAGGGTTGGCCATCGTTTATCTCAATTTGTTCTTGGTTTTCTGTGTGCTCTTGCGGAGCTTGTACCTGCATTCCTAATTCTATGGATATCTCTTCTCTTATTTGTGTTATCTCCTCTGCCGGCAATCTGTTGTTTATGAATACGGTCGGCGCTGGTCTAGTACGTTTTGCACAGTTTTGCCTTGCAGTGAGGGAAGTTCATGATAACTTGTCTGTGTAAGTTCAGTACCATAGGGCTCTGTAGATGTTTCAAGTTTAGTTATTCTGTAGTAGAGCGAACCACAAATCTGTTCATTTCAGTGGTCCACGTGGTTCTTTTTCTCCTCCTATGCCTGGCATTATGGGCTGGGGCTCTTGGCTTCCAGCAACATGATTGCCATCTTCGACCCCAGGAAGCTGTTGGATGGGGTCATTCGAGTTACTTCTCACACTATCTGTGGGGGCTTTCGCTGGATGACGACCGGGGGTGCGACCTTCCCCTACGCTCCCTGCCGGACGCGGACCTCGTCGCATAGCGTCGAGTCCCGATTACGTCGTTACATTCCGAGGCTTCATTTTGTTTTTTCTCCATTTCTGGGTAATTGTGTTCTCTTTTGATAGGTAGGTATAATTGTTTACCTAAAAGTGTTTAAACTCAGGCGTGGAAGAGAGACAAAAACCACGCCTGGATGAACAGGAGATGTGCTGGCCGTACTGACTTTCCTTCGGTGTTAATAACAGTAGCTCAACCACTTGGTCGAGGCCAGACGTTGCGTTGCTGGCTGTACCGTCTACGTCGTTACGGTAGCGGGTTTGAAACTGCTGGCGGCAGTCCCCTTACCGGCCAGACCCCTTGATTATATTATTATTATAATTTTATTATTCTTATTATTATATATATTATAATTATTATATTATTATTATTATTATTATTATTATAATTATTGTTATAATCATTATTATTATAATAATAATAATGATTATTATTATGATTATTAGTATTATTATTATAACTATTATTATTATATTATTATTATATATTATTATTAATTATTATTCTTATTATTATAATATAATTATTATTATTATAATTATTATTAATTAATTATTATTATTATTATATTATTATAATTAATTATTATTATGATTATTATTATATAATATCATTAAATATATTATATTATTATTACTATGATTATTATTATTATTATAATAACTATATTATTATTATTATTAAATTATTATATTATTATTATTATTTTTATTATTATTAATTATTATTTTATTATAACTATTATTATAAATTATTATTATGTTATAATTAATATTATTATTATAACTATATTATTATTATAATTATTATTATGATTATATTATTATTTTATAATATTATTATCATGATTATTATTATTATTATAATTATTATTATTATACTGTTATTATATTATAATAACTATTATTATTATTATATATAATAATTACTATTATTATTATTATATTATAGTTTATTATTATTATTATTATATTATATTATTATTATTATTATTATATATATTATTATTATTATTATTATTTTATTATATATTATTATTATTATAATTATTATTATTATTATTATTATATTGTTATTATATTATTATATTATTATATTATTATTATTATTATTATTATATTATATATATA